AGAGTTAAATGTGGACTCTTAAACATCAGATCTCTCTCTTCTAAAGCTGTACTAGTAAATGAACTAATATCAGATTATGATATTGATTTATTTTGTCTTACTGAAACCTGGCTGGGTGATGGAGAATATGTTAGCCTAAATGAATCCACCCCTCCCAGTCATATTAATACTCACATTTCTCGAGGCACAGGCCGAGGAGGTGGAGTTGCAGCTATCTTTGACTCTAGCCTACTAATCAGCTCTAAACCTAAACTAAACTATAACTCATTTGAAAGCCTTGTTCTTAGTCTTTCACACCCTAGTTGGAAATCACTGCAACCAATTCTCTTCGTTATAGTGTACCGAGCACCTCGCCCGTATTCTGAATTTTTTATTTTTTTTCAAAGTTTTTGTCAACTTTAGTCCTTAAAACGGACAAAGTTATTATTGTAGGAGATTTTAATATTCATGTGGACGTTGAGAATAACAGCTTCAGTACTGCGTTTATCTCTCTCTTAGATTCCATTGGCTTCTCTCAGAGTGTTCATGAACCGACTCACTGTTTTAACCACACCCTCGACCTTGTTTTGGTGTATGGTATTGAAATTGAACATTTAATAGTGTTCCCACAGAATCCCTCTTTGTCCGACCACTGTTTGATAACTTTTGAGTTTGTATTGCTGAACTACACGCCATTGGGCAAAAATTTCTATACAAGATGTCTGTCTGATAGTGCTGTAGCTAAATTTAAGGATGCGATTCCATCAGCTCTAAATTCATTATCAAGTCACAAAGTAACGGAGGACTCCTATGCTAGTTTCAGTCCCTCCCAAATCGATCATCTTGTTGATAGTGCTGCAGGCTCGCTGCGATTGACACTGGACTCTGTAGCCCCTCTAAAAAAGAAAATACTAAAACAAAGACAGTTAGCTCCATGGTATAATACTGAAACTCGCAAATTAAAGCAAATATCACGGAAACTTGAGAGGAATTGGCCTTCCACCAAACTGGAAAATTCTCGTTTAATTTGGCAAGATAGTCTTAAAACTTATAGGAAGGCCCTCCGTAATGCTAGAGCAGTGTACTACTCGTCATTAATAGAGGAAAATAGGAACAACCCCAGGTTTCTTTTCAGCACTGTAGCCAGGCTGACAGAGTCACAGCTCTATTGAGCCAAGTATTCCCATAGCTCTCAGTAGTTACGACTTCATGAGCTTCTTTAATGATAAAATTCTAGCTATTAGAGACAAAATTCACCAAGACCTGCCCTCAACTGGCACCAACTTATCTCTTAACTCAGGAACCTTAGAAACAGCTGTAGAACCAGATATATGTTTAGACTGTTTTGCTTCCCTCAATCTTTACCAACTAACTTCAATAATTTCTTCATCTAAACCATCAACCTGCCTCTTAGACCCCATCCCGACTAGGTTGCTTAAAGATGTTTTACCCTTAGTCAGCACTTCTATACTAGATATGATCAATCTATCTCTATCAACAGGCTATATACCACAGTACTTTAAAGTAGCTGTAATTAAACCTCTTCTGAAAAAGCCCAAACTTGATCCGGATGTTTTAGCCAACTATAGACCTATATCTAACCTTCCATTTCTCTCTAAGATCCTGGAGAAAGCAGTTGCTAAACAGCTGTGTGACTTTCTACAGAGCAATAGTTTATTTGAGGATTTTCAGTCAGGATTTAGAGTTCATCATAGCACAGAGACAGCACTGGTGAAAATTACTAACGACCTCCTTATTGCATCAGACAAAGGACTTGTCTCTGTACTGGTTTTATTAGATCTTAGTGCTGCATTTGATACCATTGACCATCAGATCCTATTGCAGAGACTGGAACATTTCATTGGCATTAAAGGAACCGCTCTAAGCTGGTTCAAGTCCTATTTATCAAATCGATTTCAGTTTGTACATGTTAACGATGAGTCCTCCATGCATGCCAAAGTTAGTCATGGAGTTCCTCAAGGATCTGTCCTCGGACCAATCCTCTTCACTTTATATATGCTTCCTTTAGGCAATATTATCAGGAGATATTCCATAAGCTTTCATTGTTATGCAGATGATACTCAGTTATATCTATCGATCAAACCAGATGAAACTCATCAGTTAGCTAAACTTCAAATGTGCCTTCAGGATGTTAAAACCTGGATGACCTGTAATTTTCTAATGTTAAACTCAGATAAAACTGAAGTTATTGTTCTGGGGCCTAAGCACCTCCGTCACGCATTATCTAAAGATATAGTTTCCCTTGATGGGATCGCCCTGGCCTCTAGCACCACTGTGAGGAATCTTGGAGTTATCTTTGATCAGGACATGTCGTTTAAGTCTCACATTAAGCAAATTTCGAACACCTTTTTTCACCTACGTAATATTGCGAAAATCAGGAACATCCTGTCTAAAAATGATGCAGAAAAAGTAGTCCATGCATTTGTTACTTCTAGGCTGAATTACTGCAATTCTTTATTATCAGGCTGCTCGAAAAAGTCCGTTAAGACTATTCAGCTGATCCAGAATGCTGCAGCACGTATTCTGACAGGAACCAGGAAAAGAGATCATATTTCTCCTGTCTTAGCTTCTTTGCATTGGCTTCCAGTAAAATCCAGAATAGAATTTAAAATCATTCTTCTTACCTACAAAGCTCTTAATGGTCAGGCACCATCTTATCTTAAAGAACTCATAGTACCTTACTACCCCACCAGAGCACTGCGCTCCCAGAATGCAGGGTTACTTGTGGTTCCTAGAGTCTCCAAAAGTAGACTAGGAGCCAGAGCGTTCAGCTATCAAGCTCCTCTCCTGTGGAACCAGGTTCCATTTTGGGTTCAGGAGGCAGACACCATCTCCACATTTAAGAGTAGGCTTAAGACTTTCCTCTTTGATAAAGCTTATAGTTAGGGCTGGCTCAGGTTAGTCCTGAACCATCCCTTAGTTATGCTGCTATAGGCCTAGACTGCCGGGGGATTTCCTATGATGCACTGAGCTCCTCTCTCCTCTATTTTCTCTCCCTCTGTATGCAACCTCATCCCATTATTGCATGTTACTAACACAACTTCTCCCCTTTCTGGTAGTCTTGTGCTTTCTCGTCCCTCTCCTCTCTCCTCCTATCACTTCCTGCAGGTGTTTCTGGCTCTGGAGCTGTGGAGTCTGGATCTGTGGCTGCGGGTCACCTGCTGCCCCCGTGTTCCTGCTTGACACCCTCTGCTGCAACGACTATTGTTACTAGTCCTATTATTATTATTATTGTTATTATAATAATTAACACTACGACTGTTACCATTAACACTACTATAAATATCTGTACCATTTTTTCATTTAGTCTATAGGAACATCACCTTTACTGTCTGTACCTCTGTGTGTGTATATTGTGTAGGCTGCCTCCCTCCCCTCCCTCTCTCCTTCCATCCCTCTCTTTTTCTCTCTGTTGCTCTCCTGCCCTCTCTCTCTCTCACTCTCTCTCTCCCTCACCCCAACCGGTCGAGGCAGATGGCCGCCCACCCTGAGTCATGGTTCTGCTCGAGGTTTCTGCCTCTTAAAAGGAAGTTTTTCCTTGCCTGTCGCCTAGTGCTTGCTCTTGGTGGGAACTGTTGGGCTTCTGTAAATAGCATCATAGAGTATGGTCTAGACCTGCTCTTTTATGAAAAGCGCTGTGAGATAACTGTTGTTGTGATTTGGTGCTATATAAATAAAATTGAATTGAAGTATCTTTTAGGTCTTCACAATATCATCAAGTCATGACTCTCACTGTCCTAAATGAGGTCATGACATTTTTTTTTATAAATAAAATGCTAACCTGAATTAGCAATCAACCAACATCCAAGTATATTTAACTTGTCATACTGGAAAACATCAGAAGTGAGCCAAAATGATAAAGGAAATATAAATGTATACTTACTGATACAACGCTTAGTAAATTTACTCATTTACTTATCGTTATATTTATCATCATCATCTAAACAAAGCTGATGCTATATCTTGATATGGTTTTAGGTCCCATCTTTCAGTCGTTGTCATACATGTAGGTGGGGATTCAGGCATTTTAGACTTAGTGTTGGTTGGACTGTGATTTTGAGCTTGTGGTGAGCAGAATGGACAGAGGGATAAGGGGAAACGCGCGCACACACACACACACACACACACACACACACACACACACACACTTACTTGTGTGTACAGGGAAGCAGCAGTAGCCACAGGGGTTAGAGGGTCTATTGGACAAGGGCGCTGTACAAAAGAAGTTTGAAGTAGGACAGAAAGAGAGGGAGGGATGATTTGTGCCAGCTAAACCAAAGCAGGATGAAAGGAGAAGGGGGGGTGTGGGGGGACTGTGAAGGTGTGCCATGAGAACAGAGATGGGATGGACGGAAAGAGAGGGCGAGATAGAGTGGGCTGCAACTCCACGGCCAGCCCAAATCCCACATTCAAAAAGGCATTCTGGGCACATTCCTGCACATCAAGCAGCACACCATACCGTAATGCAAAAAGAATAGCCTGCATATGTGCCCCTATTGGTCCAGGAAAATGTGCCAAGAAATTTAGTCAAAACATCACATATCCTTGCATCATCAGAGACTGAGTGTGTGTATGTGCGCACGTGTACATGTGTAAGGCAGGAAAGCAAGAGAGGGCAAGGAAAACAATGTGTTGCCTGGCAAAAAAATAGTTGAACCTGGCTTAACTCTTAATCCATGTTCATGTTAGATTACTAATCTTAACGGTGTAGTAGTACTGTTTGCTGATAACTTTCCAGAGTTGTGAAATCCTGTCTGAAGAGTATTGTTAAACCCTGTGCAGTGTTTTGGCTTCTGATAAGCCGTCAAACCCATGGATCTGTTACCCAAAGTGGCCTTCATGGATGTATTTTTCATCTCAATGGTACCTGAAGTAACACGCATATACCAACACCGCCTCTCAAATGTTGTTTTTGGTCTGAATGCCCAGTAACACAAAGAGAAAACACCAGCACACACAGGAAAAAAAAAAAAACACATTGTAAAAACTCCAACACCCACCTGTGGTACTGGGTCTGGAGGAACTGAAACTCCTCCTTGATGCGGTCCAAAGTTTCTGGATAGGTTAGTTTCAATGACTGGGGCGTCCCCGATGCCGCTGCCGCCGCTGCTGCTGCAGCTGCCACCACTGAGGCGGAGGACCCCGGGGGTGGCTGCAGAGGTGCCTGAGAAGAGAGGAGACAGCCGACTTAGGGATCTGACTTGTAACATTTATAAGTAGAGCATAATTGGCAAAAATAACAAAAACAATTCTTGACATATGATTTCAAAATTGTGTCAATATCCTAGGGGCAATACCTGAGAACTTTGCTGTGTAATAAAAATGTAAAGGCTTCACTCACACAGTTTCTTCAAACTAAGGAGCTGCATCTGCAAAGACCATTACTAAACAACTACAGGAAGCTCAGCATGTGTGTAACTATGTGAGGTGCTGTCTATTACAGAGACACCATCAGCAGAGCCAGATGTGAATCAGTCACCAGGACTTGGATGAGAGGGCGGAGAGGTACAAGAGCTTGTTAGCCAAATGAGCATACTTCGTTCTTCTACTCAGTCTTGGAAATTAAACAGAGTATAGAGAGAAAGAGAGAGGTGGGACGGAGCAAAGTGGGTGTGTGTGTGTGTGTGGGGGGGGGGTGCTTAGCCTCCCAACTCTGCTGAGTTCACAGCAATTAGGAGACTACATCCATAGGGGTAATGCTGCGGGACAGGCAGACAAAAGAGGGCTGAGAGCTGGACTAGGAGGGTGGTGGGGGATGTCCGTCTGTCAGTCTATTTGGCTCTCTGTCAAAATAACAGAGTGCAGAGGCCAACGGGGCCTGGGAGAGCCGGTTCACAAGCTTCTTGATGGTTAAGTATGATGGTGAGGTTTAAGTGGTAGTAATATACATTCATTTTCTTCCAGGAAAGCACAGAATACAATTTTTTAAGACTTTTTTTATTAAATTTTTATTTTATTAAAGGCCAAAGTCTTTTCGCTCTTTTTTTCCCAGCCTGTGATGGGAGGTGTAACAACAGGGGGAAGATTGTGGGAGGACAGAGATTCTATGCCAAGTAGGATTGCTTGATCTGATAAGAACCCCAAATAGCTGAGGCTATTACTAGACATTTTATAATCAAGAGTTCTAAGAATAAGCCTGTAATGTTGTTGAATTTGTGCAAGAGCTTTATGTGGAGTGGACACTGTTACAATCCAGATGCACTTTTCTTAAACTCCAGCAGATTGCAGATACAACTTGCCAACCAGAGCCACAAACACAAACTCTCACACACACACACACACACACACACACACGGCAACAATTTTTTCTCCAATGTGAATCCTTAACTGGTAGTGATGTAGCTTTGTTTGCCTTTCTCTGACTGCCTGGGGATTTATTATAATGGACTCAATACTTGGAATAAATACAAGTTAAGAAATATAGCTGTGTTTATTATATAGGTATGTTCATTACAGCACTGGCCGAACACAGTCTGGTTGCTAGTGTGTAAAAGTGAAGCTAACCGGACTAGACAGGAGCAGAGTTTTCTTCCCCTCTTTGTCGCTTCCTATTTAAAATATTTCTTCCATTTTCCACCTAGTTCTGGGCCTTAGCTTATCCTGTTCCTTCCCTTGTATTCAAGTCTACTATAGAGCTTCTATCCAAAGACTCACCATAAGCAACACTTTTAAATGTGATAAAGTTAAGTTGGTGAAGCTCTCAGCTTTTAGGCTGCCTGGCGCAACATTTTTGAAATCCCTGTGTATAAGACAATTTTGTGAATTTATGTTGAGCAAATAATGATATATAAAGGACAGAATGCAAAGTAAATGACTACACGGCTTATAAATTTGTATCAACTCACTTCCACTTATGCAAGCTGGTAAGAACAACACTGAATTCCCATGGGAATCCCAAAATGAATCTGCCCAATTTTCCAGCTCAACAAAACAGTGTACAAGCCGAGTTCAATGACAGTAGATTTAGTACATGTGGATAGCACTGAACGACAGCAGTAATGATTAACTTAGGATATTTTTTTAAACAAAAAAACATCTCACATCTTCATGTCGTACACATCAACAATGTCTGTCACGCACTGATGAAGTTTAATGAACAAGTTAATCACAACATCACTCAACTCCAATGCCAGGGAGAGTGTATGAAAGGCATTTGCATGTCAGCATGATGAGAGCAGAGCACACAAGCACCTACAGTCCATACATGCATGTGTAAGGATACGTGTGTAGATATGACAATGTGGTTCAGCAGGGGAAAAATTATCAGAGGAGAGGAAAGCAAATACACAGGAAAGATGAGGAGAGTGTGAAGAGAGATAGAATAGAGCAGAGAGGTTGAAAGAAAACAGATAAGATGAACAGAAAGTAAAAAAAGGGACAAGTGAGACCAGCAAGTGAAAAAGTCAGAAATATACAGAGAAAAGGAGGAGAAAACTGAGAATCTGTTTTGAAAGGAGATGGAAATAAGAGAGAAGAGAAAAGGGAAAGAGAGAAAGGTAACACTGGAAAGGAAAAGAAATGAAAAGAAGGGAAAGGAAAGGAACAAAAAAAGAAGATAGGAGAGGGTCTGTGGCCTCATTGTTCCTCTTTCTAACAAGCTGCTCTCAATCTGTCGGCCAGATCCCCCTCCTAGAGCACAGACAGCCACACACACACACACCCCTTTTCCTTTACCCACAAACCCACCATTACACACACACACACACACACACACGCATTTTGTCAATCTCGCTCACACGTACACACTACCCTTTCCTCACACAAAAACCCATGATTAAACACACACAGGCTCCCCTCCTCTTTCACACAATGCACACACAGAGCAATTACTCTCCACAGGAGGAAAAAAAGAGCACCAAGGCCATTTTATAGGAGGATGGAAGGAGGAAGAAAGAGGCCACTATGCTCCATCTCTCCTTTTTATCACTCCCTTTCCCCCTTGTTCTTTTCAACATATTTTGTGGTTTTCTTTTTTAACACAGCTGTGTCTCCAGAGGGCAGGTGAGAGGAGAAAGAGCATCTTCCTCAGAAAATGGAGGCATGGATGAGACATAGAGAGAGTTGATCTATTTTTTTCACCCTCTTTGGTAGAGGAAACCACGGTCTCTCTGCTGGTTCAGCCACTCAGGGCCTTATGCACCACTCCAGTCTGCTGGTTAGACTTGTTATGATGATTCACACCAGACTACACTGGATCCATGTGACTGATGCCGTCTCTGAAACACAGGCAAAGCAAAGATCATATCCCAGCATGCATAACATCTTTTCTACTCATTACTTCACTCCCATGGACCACTACTATTAGTCTGTCCCAACTTCTGAGCCGCCAAACAGCTGAGCAGGCTTTAAAGTGAGAGGTCACATCGCCGCGCTGACCTGGTGACCTCTGGGAATGGATCTAGGCTGGGAGCCTCACCCAATAATCCTACACTTGGTTATTCCCTCCCTCACGGCCGTGTCCTGGCTGCAAAGCAAACAAGAGACATGGCGTCTGCCCTTGAACAAAGCTTACATAGTCTGAAAATCTCTGTTACACAATTACAGACTAGAGCTTTCTGTGCCTCATATAATCGTAAATTAAGGTTCTGTAATAGTGAGGAAGGATTGCATGAGGTTGGTCGGCGTGAGGAAGGAAAGCTTTTCTCTGATGTGATTAGAGATCATCTGATTACTCGTCTGTTTAGATAAATCAGTGGGGAGGCGTTTACAGGCCTGAGCAGCCCAGCATTGTTACCAGAGTCGCTGTGATCTGTTCTGTTCCAGAAAGCCAGCTGAGAAAAGTAGAGGCTAAGGGTAAGGGTTTAAGGCCACCTATTCCAAAGGCTCAATGACGAAAGCCTAGATATGAGAGAGAGAGAAAGAGAGATATCTATCTATTCATCTATCCATCGATCTATGTCAAATCAGATGTATAGTCATGCACAAAAACATTCACACTAATCTCTCGCTTAGCCCTGAAAGGCCTAAGTCAATTGCAATGATTAAATGGGGACCTGATGAAGGGATGAGAGCGAGAGCCTGAATGAGTCATCTACGGGAACAGGAATGATTTAAAATCAGACCACACATCCCTTTAGGATAGGAAACAATCCAATAAGGCTGTTTTAAAGGATCCTATTTTCACATATTTGGTGTTGAAATGACAGGTAGGTACAAAAAGTTTTGGATACTGTGTTAGTTTGAAAACGAAAATGATCTCCGTCCTCACCAGCGTTTTAGCTGCGTATCAGACTTGATCTTCATCAAAGTAAATACATGTTATTTACACAGTATAAAATATTATATAAAAATACCAAAACATAAACCTTGTCTCTAGCATTGTGTTTTTGCTTTGCATGACTGATAAGACCCAATCAGGAAGATAGATGTGAGTGTCTGCGTCATTCTTTTAAAGTCCTACGTTTTTGGTCTTCGCATTCACCGTTTTAGTCTGGATGGGAGGTGCAAACATAGCAAAAGGTGTGTGTTTTGTGGATGGAGCCTGAGCAGTAGATGGCTTTGGCTGACAGCGGTGAACAGCTGCAGAGCCAGCAACTTATTCCTTTAGGGCAATTGCGCCCGTCAAAATTACATCCACAAAAGGTGCTCCTTTTTACCAGGTGTCTAACAACATTATGGAAAGGATCCCTATTAGTGACTCACAGCGACACCCTTTGCTTTTAAACAAGAAACAGAACTTTCTCAAAGACAATTCTCGCTCTGAAATCTCATGAGGCGAGCTGTTGCAGGAATCAACGGTGGAAACAAGGGAGAGGAGTTTGTTGTGTACATACAGGAGCTGCTAGCAAGACTATTTTCTAATGTTACTCCAAGATTAACTGCTCTCTCCAACTCTGACTCACGTTTCCACCAGTCTTCCGTTCGCAGCTGCAGGCTGAAGCAATCTACTGCACCTGTACCTACTAGTCATTTCGACATGAAAATTTGTAAAAACAGGGCCCAGGTAAAAGAATAATGAAATAATCCTTTAAAAAAACACGCTAGCTGATGAGAAATAGCTGAACACTAACAGCAGCACTGTGCTCCCAGGACTGCAACGTAACAAATCAGGTTAAATACTCTGCACACACGATATTCATGGTCACATGGAACAAAATCCATGAATGCAAAGACATATACACAAACGCACATGAACAACATAAATACACATAACATAAATATAAA